AAAGAAATTATCTGCAAAAATTATGCAGTTCCCTCTACACACAGACAAATCTTTCACTGATGCAGAAAAAGTACAACCATCACCCAAAAACAACACACGATCATCCAAGTTCTTAACCTCAACCCACTCCGTACCAACTTCATTCAACTGAAAAACCTTAAACCTAACTGTCCTCTCATTCATATAAATAGCAAGGTTCTCAAAATACTCCTCAACAAACCCTAAACCCATTCATGAACACGAACCCTCCTCAGCTTCGATACTCAAATACTTATCAACCAACAGTAACTCACCCTTTAACTCAACCAAAAACTTCTTGTCACCACCAAACACAGGCATCCCAACCACACTTGCCTCAAAATCCAATCCCACAAGCACAGTCCTACCCGTATTATCAACTGCGTAGAAATTCCCTTTATACAATATCATATCATCATAAGGAGATGGCATGTCATGAATGATAGTCCATTTTTTCTCACTAGACTTAAACATAGCTAATTTCCCAGAAACATGAATTGTAAGTAAAACAAAATCATTAACATTGTTATCTAAACAAGATACCACTACTTTTTCCATGTATAAGTTTCCAACATCACCTAGATAACTATGGTGATTTAAATAATGAAGCACATATTCTTCACCCAATTCAAAAACTCTAAATCCAACAAGCTCAAAGGCTTGGGGAAATTATAAGGGAGAGAATGGAAACGGGACCTTGAGAGAGTATTCAAAAGCTGAATTCTGTTGTTTGGCACATCTTCTTCGATTTTGATTACCCAGGAGGCTGAAGAGTCTGCTTGGATATTGGTTTCGGGTGATCCGAGGAGAAATACGATACGTTTTGAGAGGCAAAAACCGAGGGAGGTGTCCGAGACGCCACCGTCATCCGGGAGGACCGGGAAACGGAGGATCGCTACGTGGAGCAAACGGAACGGAAGCGACTCACGTCGCAGGGTTTGTCTAGACTTTTGGAAATAAGGTCTAGGAGTTCCTTGGGGAGCTGGGTCCAATCTGCCATAGCTGATTTTCCCGGGAAATGATGGAAAAGAAACAGAACAATGTGAGCGCGAGGGAGCCTTCAATATTAACGGAAGAGGAGGCCTGCTTAAATGGGCTTTTGCGTTGGGCCAAGGCCAGTTAGAAAGTTCTCTCCTTTGGATTAAAGGCTTAAAGCGACTGTTTTCAATCCTCTAGCTCAGCGTCAACATCGAAGAACCTCTCTAGTGCCCTGGAACATATGGAGAAGAAGCAGGAGCAACAAAACGGCAACAAAAGCAGAAGGAATGAAAGAAAAGGTGGTTCTTTGAAGATATTTGGGGGTACTTCGATCAATGGAGACGATGCTTCAAGCTTAGTTGGGAGCATAATCGAAAAGGGAATTGTTTCACCGAACAATGATATTAGTAAACCCATTAAACCGCCTCAGCCATCAGTTCTTCCCTTCCCTGTTGCACGCCACCGCTCCCATGGACCTGTAAACCACCACCAAATTCACTTAGTTATCTGTTTTAAACACCCTGCTTTATTTTCGTTGTTTTCTTCTGTTTTCTTTTGAGTTACGCATATTCAGGAAATTTTAAACATTTATTAGATATATGAACAACTCTTCTGTACACATTTATTTATACTGTTTTGTTTCTTTTAGGACACATAGAATCACCATTTCTATGATGACGTGTCTAGCTTATACTTTGGGAAGTTCAGTTATCTTGGTAGTACACTGTTGTTGATTACTTCAAATTTGGGAAAGGCTGTTGCTTGAAGGAGTAAGGAGATATTATACATTTAGTTAAAGCCTATCATGAAGCACAACGTAACTGGTTTTGGTGATCAGCTAACTCTAGTATATTAAATATGCTTCTTTTTGGTTTTATCTCCCTTCCTCTTGTAATTGGAGATTAAATTAATATAGGGGGTTGTTTGTTTAGTGAGTTTGATTATGTTCAAACCTGAAGTTGTTTAAACTGATTTGGATTTGTTTTCACAGCATTGGACTCCAAGAAGCAATAGAAATATTGAT